AAATTAAATTAAATTAAATTAAATTAAATTAAATTAAATTAAATTAAATTAAAAATCTGCTTTCTCAAGATTGGTCAGACAGTCATAGTTTTTGTTTAAGAAATAAAATGATGTGGTTTTACAAATGTGCTTTTGTTGTACATGATTTCAAGAATGCAGGAGCATCTTTCTATGGAGTTTCTTGACTGGCAAAATTCTCTATAAAAGGTACTTTGGGATGATTTTGGAGTTTGAAAATTGCTATAAAATACATTTGAACTGAATAGAAAAGAGTTTCTCTTTAGATTCTAATAGTGGGCAGAAAAAAAAGTCCTCTTTGGTGTGTGTTGCTGTGTATTTTTACCTTCTTTCGTCCCACTCCTGTCTGTGTCCGGCCCTGTATTAACCGACCGTTTGGGGTTCTGTGTGAGGTGGTTCTGTCTGGTCCAGTCAAACACATCACTGCGGTCTTGAGTGAACCCACATATCCTAATGTCCTCAAACCCGCACACGTGATCTACACACAAAAACATGAGAGGGAATCAAGATCCACCTTCAGTTCATGAATGCAAGAATGTGTTACATAAGCGATAATGTACATACAGATGGTTGTTCTCGCAGAATAAACCCTAACAGAGCGATCAGGACCCTGCTTATTTCACAGCTACTTGCCAAATAAGTAAATAATTAGACAGAAAATATTGAGTTAAATATTTTATTATTTAGAGCAGTGGTTCCCAACCCTGGTCCTGGAGGCACCCCAACACTGCATGTTTTGCATGTCTCCTTAATCAAACACACCTGATTCAGGTCATCAGCTCATTAGTAGAGACTCCAAGACCTGAAACTGGTGTGTCAGAGAAAGGAGACATGCAAATTGTGCAGTATTGGGGTGCCTCCAGGACCAGGGTTGGGAACCACTGATTTAGAGAACGCAGTGGTGTGATACGAGAGAAGTGAAAGACATCAACATCCGTTGAACGTTGTTATTCGCCACTGCTAAAGACGACAGTTGTTATTAAGAAGTAACATACCTTAGAATGTCGCAACTGAATAATAAAAATATGTTAAAGCGCAATGTATTAGCATTGCTGAAAGGGGCTCTATAGCAGTAAAAGGGTCTCAGGTGAGCACCAAACGAACTATATACTTATAGTGATTTCCCCTTTAAACTATCCTCTTATTCTTTAACTGTCTTTCACCATGTGTGAATTTTGAGTTTTCCACATGCTGTGTAACCTTTTTTACGCTCTCTTTTCTAAAACGTAAGCTTTTAAGCAGCTAACAACTCTATAAATCAGAGGCTATGTTATTATACCCTTGAACTGTATAATGATTTAATAATATTTCCTTCAATTGTATTCCATTATGTGAGAGCCACAGTATATAAGAGAGTTTTCCACATGTATAGTGTGACCTTAAGCACTCTAATTTATTTTACGAAAGGTAATATTTCTTTAGTAATATCCTTGAATTGTATAACACCGCATAAGAAGCACAGTTTATAAGTGTGTCTACTTGCAATAAACTCGAAAGACTCTGAGAACGTAGTCTCTGTTCTTGCCATGATCACGAGCAGGGCTTATTCGAATGACAACAGGAGGACATTAATCTCAAATATTGTCCATTAAGTTGCATTGAAAATGGAAAATCTTAAAGGAACTTGGGGTCTTGTGCAGCTGACATTTCTGCCACAGTAGCGCAAGAATGCAGCTAAGTCTGTTTAGCATGGCTAAGCATCCACACCTGCGTTTTCGTACTTGCATAAAGTATGTTTCAGGCCTAATGCTGATGAGCAGATCTGAGGAGAAGGTCTGCAGGGTTTCTCAGGCGTGTTTAATGTAAGGAGACCTCTCGAGAGGTTCCTCTGGAGTACTGGAGTACTCTCAGCATATTGCAGCATTCACAGCGATTACCCTCATTTAACAAACACAGAATACAGAATACTGTAGTTAGTCACCCAAAACATCTCCATTCACACTCTAAATGGCTGATTAACTCATTTTCCAAGTGTGAGAGGAGACATTGAATGGAGAAGAATGCACGATTTCCGAGTTGTGGTTTGAAATCACCATTTTCTTCCCTCCGTATGCATTCGGCTCTTCAATTTACTCTGCTGATCTCCAGTCTGTTTTAATTAATGTTTTTTTTTTCCTTTGTACCTCTTTGGCAAAGCTCTGTGCTTACGCTGCCAGAAGAACTGTGTTGAATTTAATTGGGAAGAACTGAAAGGCAGGGCAAGCGTGAGATGGGAGGACGGTTCAGAAGAGAGAGAAAGACAACATGCACAAAACCATCACCGAAAGAAAAAGTACAGGACTGTCTCACCTGAAGGTCTTGGGTAAGTGTAGGCTGCAAGAGAAAAGAAATGAGAAAAAACAGTGACTGCAGGGCCTTCTTATGGATCAATTAACACAACAAATGAGATCAATGTATACACATCAAACAAGGCTGGGAGATAGAAGTGCAAAATTATACAGAGAAAACTTTATATAGTGTATATTTATGTATCTGCTCTAAAATAGCGTTGATTTTTTTTTTTTATTCCATCATTTTGAACAGTTATTTTAACCAAATTATTAATTTATTATTTTTAAGCAAAATAAATTAACCAAAAATGTTCCAAATGAGAACAAGGTTCAATGTAAGTAATACAATATGTATAAAAGAGAGAAAGAAAAAGAAAAAATGCATACTTTCTATACCGTTTTTCACTTAATAAATACTTTTCCATTATATAAAACAATATGATGTATACTAAATAGCATAATTAATAATAAAGCAATAAATAATATTTACCTACATATATTTTACAGAATATTTTAATATAAAAGAATAAAATAATTACTTTAAATTAAAAATTACTTTATAATTTTTTAAAAAAAAATTATACAAAAAAATAATAATAGCATTTACTTACATATACTTACATATATCTTACCAAATATTTGAATGAACAATACAAAATTAAAAAATAATAATAATAGCAGTAAATAACATTTATTTACATATATATAACCAAACACTTTAATGTAAATAAACTATTTATGCATATACATAAAATTATTATATTTAATAAATAAAACTCGGCCAATCAAATTAGAAGACTGGAACAAACTTTTGTGTATATCGCCTTGACATCAGAGAAGAAGGGTTTCATGTCTTCCAGCAGTCCATTTATTCTAGAGGTTGGTCATTTTTTAGAGGTTGGTCTGGTTAGAGTAATGCTGAGATTGGGAGTTGAAGATTGAACGACTATCCAGTGGGATTAGATTCTATCAGCGCTTTCTGAGATCCAGACTCGGCTCTGGTGCTGAAACCGCTGGCCTGTTCTGTAGCCATCAGCAAACTCTCAACACCATGACTGCCACACGTTTGACATCTCAATTTACCATAATCCCAAAAGCGAAACCTCACATTTGAAATGCATGGCCTCTGCTGATGGGAATCATGAGGATTTGAACAATTCTGACTCTGATTCCCATTCCACAACCAGCCCAGCTATGCTTTGCACTTGCCCATATAAAATAAAAAAATCTAAATTCATCAAAAATTTTATACTGCCTACTTACAAGGGTAACTTTAAGATAAAAAATAAATGGATGGGAGTAGCCAGTTGACAATGGAGATCTTGCATACTGTATGGTGTGTAACTGGAAGGTGACTTACGCTCTGAGTACTGGATGGTACGCGTGACTGTGTTTCCGGTGCCGAAGCTGGTTATGGGAGTGAGGCTGACCTCATACGACAGGGGAATACGCAAGTCCATCAGCGTGTAGGACATCAGCACACCTTTCACCGGCTCTTTAGTGGTGATCTGTTTGGACAAAATCGTCTGTCGGTTCTGCAAACACACAAGAGAGAAAAGTGTTTAATGGTTTAATCAGGCTATGATCAGGGTTAAATAAGGTCTGAATTAATTACCATGTATTACCTTTATTTAACATATGAAATCATATACTCTGAATTTTCTGAAAGTCTGTTAAGCTCACCAAGGCTGCATTTATTTAATAAAAAATACAGCAAAAGCTGTAATATTGTGAAATAGCATTACACTTTAAATATAGTATCATTATTGCAACTGAAATATTGTTGCAATTTAAATCATTAAGGAACATTTTTTTATTATTATCAATGTTGCAAAGAGTTGTGCTGCTTAATATTTTTGTGGAAACCATTATATATATTTTTTTTAAATATCAATTCTTTAATGACTTCAATGACAGTTAAATGGTCAGCATTTATTTGTAAAAGTATAAATGCATGTCCTCATATTATTGCAATTTAAATATAATAATATCATTGCTATTATATGTACATACATGTGTGTGTGTGTGTAATTTAATAAATTTATTTTCAATAATCTGCATTTATTTGTAAACTTATAAATGTTTTTATCACCACATTTGAATTTAATGCCAAACAAAAGTATTTATTGTTTTTAAAAACATCTTAGCGAGCCAAACTTATGGATGGTACTGTAAATGAGACCCTGGACAACAAAACCAGTCACAAGGGTCAATTTATTGAAATTTAAATAAAAATAAAAAATAAATAAGCTTTGCATTGATGTGTGGTTTGTTAGTATAGGACAATATTTGGCCGAGATACAACTATTTGAAAATCTGGAATCTGAGGGTGCAAAAAAATCTAAATATTGAGAAAATCGCCTTTAAAGTTGTCCAAATTAAGTTCTTAGCAATGCATATTACTAATCAAAAATTAAGTTTTGATATATTTACGGTAGGAAATTTGGAACATGATCTTTACTTAATACCCTAATGATTTTTGGCATAAAAGAAAAATCGATAATTTTGACCCATACAATATATTGTTGGCTATTGCTACAAATATACCCATGCGACTTTTTTTGTGGCCCAGGGTCACATATACATTAAATATGTATATTACTACATTTTATACTTCCACCTTTTTTCAATAAATTATTTTTTTCTATCTTTATATCTTCTGTGTTTCCATCTGTGTGCAACATATGAATAATTTATACATTGTAAAAAAAAAAGAAGCATTTATAGTCACTTAAAAACATCATTAAGCTATAATATTTATGGAACAATATTGATTCAACACTGCCAAATGTAGCCTTACTATTATTCCTCAGCTAGTTTTTAGAATCATCCAACAATAATGAAACGCATATAGTTTTGTGTCTCATTAGTAGTTCTGACATCATTTTGGATGGTAACTATTTACTGAAGACAAGCAGAACAGGAAGAAGAGGAAGACAGACTCATGGACACAGTCACTCGCTCTTCTGACCATAGGACTTTTCACCATAAGCATTTTCACTTTCAGAGAGGACAGAAAATTTACGCTGGAAACTGGTTGCGTTACACACAGAGTTATACATCTCTAACCTCCACGAAACCACAGAAAGCCCACAGCGCAGTGATTTGCTGAGTGCAAGGTCAGCTGCTATCCAGCCGCCCGCTGTAAGAAAGTTCAGAAGTCTTTCCTCAGGCACAACATCAGTGTGCTGACTAAGAACACTTGGTGAAACAGATAATACTTTGAGGTACGTTGCTTTCCCATGGGACATCTCACGACGCCTCTGAATGCTGCTGGCTTTGAGACGTTTCTGAAGATACTTTAGCGAAACGTTAGCATTTTGTGTGTGTTTGTTTTTTTGCTTGAGCTTTGTGATTTTACCTTGAAAATGTGTCTCTTTACTTGTAAAAGAGAGCATTTACTGCTGCATAATGCAGTTTTATAAAAACACTCTATGCAAGTCTAAACACTTGCGGCTAATGCAATGCAAACTTTTGCATAAATGCAAGCTTGATTTTGTTGTATATAAAGCATTGCATTCTCATTGTTGACTCAAGGAATGGTATAGCAAGCATTAGGTAGTTGAACTGTTAACATGTTTATAGCTAAATGAACAATACTGCACATAGTTTAACAGTGAAGGTATCTTTATCTACTCTATATACTCCATCACAATATTGCAACCCATATGGCAGGGAGGAAATAAAAATCTGGGCCAAAAATGTATTTAAAATATATGCTTAATATATGCTGTAAATAAAATAAAACATGAATTAATTAATTAAATAAATTAAATAAAATATACTTTCAGTCTACATTTATTTGTATTGGCATATATATATATATATATATATATATATATATATCATATATCAAAGTATATCAAAACATTTTAATAAAAGTATTTCCAATCTTACAACGCATGAAAATAAATGGTAAATGAAAAATGTTATTTTATTTTAATTAAATATATTTTGAACAATATAAATCTATTTATATTGAAAATACATTTTTTTTAAACTTCAAATGTCAAAATATACTAAAAAATATATAAATATTTTCAATCTTAAAAAATTTTTTTTAAGGAACCTCATCTTGGACAACATAATTCAATTGATATTTCAAAATATATATTACCAATATATTTGGCCATTTTTGTACATTTTAAATAGATTTAAAAATATATCTGAAAATGTGGAAAATGGACAAATATATTGCTAAAACATAAGTGCCATATTTAGCTTTTGATTTCTTCCATTCATTCAAACGAACAGGTTGCAGTTCTATTTGGTACCGCAAAAACCTTCACTGATAATATCTCATACTATTAGCTGTATCTTATTAGATGAAACGAATGTGCAGTGAGCTGTTCCAGGTCAGCTCTCACTCCCGGAGGATGTGTGGTAATCACAGGGCCAGCGGCACTCTGGCAGTCCAGGCTTTTCCATGTGGAATTATGGGAAACATGGCAGCAGCCCCATGGAAACACAATGGAATGAGAAATTATCTTCAGCTCCGCATGGAGACCCGGGCAGCAGGTAAACCCGCAGGCATTCCCTCCAAACACAACACACGTGAATAAGTGTTTGTGTGAAGCTTCCTATTCATCCTTTTTTCCCCCTTTTCCATGCAGGAAGTAGAAGCGTAGCTGTGATGTCAACCTGGCTAGTGAGGGTCAAACACATTTGTTATCTGTCTAATTAAGTGCCACCGTAAACCCCTGTTACTGGGCCATTCACCACGGCAACATGGAGTGTGTGCCGCCACGTCTCCAACACTAAACCCACTTAAGCCTATACACAATGCATGCCAGGACTTAACAGCCGTATCCAACACACACACACACACACACACGCGCGCGCGCGTAAACGTGCGCCTTGTAAAAGTCACAGATAAATTGTCTCTGCTTGGCTGCTCTTCTCTGTATCTCTCCTCATCTAAATCACCACACACACACACACACACACACACACACATACACACACACAAAGACCAGGGGTGTTTTCTCCAAGGGAAGGGTGGCAGTGCTTAATGAAGAAAAAGATAAGATGAGAGAATAATTGATTTTACAGAAATTAAGCAAACCAAATATTATGAAATATGGCATCAAATCTTATATAGTGCTAAACATATAATGCAAAATACAGACAAAAAGTCATGTGACTGGCTGATTATTCTGTTATAATTTTAGCAAAACCCTCCTATCATATTCACATCAGTCCACAAATCTGCAAAAGAATTAACTAAATTTACTCTGACAGCATTTATTCTTGTTGTGTCCGAATAATTATTGAAAAACGACTACATTTCAGCTCTCTTTAAACTAAATGATATTTACCAAGGATTTGTTTGTATGAAACACTAAAGCTTACATATTTCGTCCGCATACTGAGAAGAACATTGGAAAATGTATATATTGGATTCTGACTGGTTTTTATCATTCATCACCTGGAACAAAAAAGGTTTTGAAAGTGATTCCCACAATATTGATCATCAGTGTCATTATCTTTATAGATGTGGTGTGGATTCTGCTACTGTTTTACATTAAGAAAAGTTTTTAAAACTGTATCTTTATCATTATTGTTATCATCCTTGGTGCAAATGGGCACTAATGATTCAGATGTTGTCATGAATGATACGAACACCAGACCTAAAGAATGCTATCAATGATCAAGGCAACTTGAGGAAGCTTATCCACCCGATCACCAACTAAATGGATAAAACATCAACAAAATTAACAATATTAAAAGCCAAACAACAGTGATTAACAAATAAAAATACAGAAAAGTATATGCATATAACTGAATTATTGTAATATTGAATTTTTTGCCATGTAAAAATGCATTTTTGTTTTTCAATGCATTTTACCTAGTGTGGACAAATAAAATATTAGGACATTTCACTATATTAATGAGGACATTTAGCCCTCGGATGTAAAGCCTGTACTCACACACCTGTGCTTTCTACCTGCCACAATCTTTCACCTCCAAATGTCTTGTTTCATTCAGTGATTTGTTCTTTTCTGCTCGTTTCCACACACCTGGTAATGTATCAGTCATCGGTACATATACTACTTCCTGTCCTCGAGCACAAAAGCAGTCTTAAGTCGCTGGGGTATATTTGTAGCAAACGCCAAAAATACATTGTATGTGTCAAAATTATAGATTTTTCTTTTATGCCAAAAATCATTAGGATATTAAGTAAAGATTACGTTCCATGAAGATATTTTGTAAATTTCCTACCGTAAATATATCAAAACTTAATTTTTGATTAGTAATATGAATTGCTAAGAACTTCATTTGGATAACTTTAAAGGCGATTTTCCTCAATATTTTGATTTTTTTTGCACCCTCAGATTCCAGATTTTGTCCTATCCTAACAAACCATACATCAATGGAAAGCTTATTTATTCAGCTTTCAGATGATGTATAAATCTCAATTTTGAAAAATTGACACTTAAGACTGGTTTTGTGGTCCAGGGTCACATATATGTGCCAAGAATAACAGCATCATTGTATTGATAAAGACCTGATCACAACGAGCTGTAGTTTCACC